ATCCCTTTATCTTCCCTCCATCCATCCTTCCATCCATTCATCTTTCCTCCATCCATGCATCCTTCCATCCCTTCATCTTCCCTCCATCCATCCATTCATCTTTCCTCCATGCATCCTTCCATCCATCCATCCATGCATCCTTCCATCCATTCATCTTCCCTCCATACATCCGTGCATCCTTCCATCCCTACATCTTCCCTCCATCCATCCATGAATCCTTCCATCCACTCACCCACCAACCCACCCAACCATCATCCACCCATCTCGAATTCATCAATCCATGCCTCCCTACATCCACTCCTCCTTTCTTTCTTCCACTCATCCATCCACTCATCCACCCACCCTCCCATCATCCATCCATCCACCCATCCACCCACCCACCCATCTTGCCCATCCCGTCATCTGTTCATCTAATTCTGATCTCCACTTTTTCAGCCAAAACAATAGTGCTGGCTTTACATGTCTTCTCACAGTTTCAGAGACTGGGGTCCAGAGAAGCCAAGCTAAGAGCCCCTGTTGCCCAAGTCTGGTTCCTGACATCTGGACAATGGCCTTGGGGTTCTCGCCCACCTCCCAAGCTAAACAGTCCACATGACAGGGACCCAGGGCAGTGGTTACCAGCATAGATGACCAGTCCATAGCAGGTGTCTGTGTTTCGGATCTTGCATCCTCGTAGGAGGATATTGCCACAGTCGAGTGGGTATCTCTTGTCATTCCACTCCAGGTAACCCACAAAGTTGTGCATGCGACTGTTGGGCTTCTCACATACCACCTTGCCTGGGGGTGACAGGGTGGACACATCTGGGCTCTGCCTCCCTCCTCGGGCTCCCTGCCACCTGCAGTCCCCCTCTGCTCTGGAATTGTTGAGGTCCTCCAGGGCACCCCGCTCAAACCTCCATGCCCACCACAAGGTCTTCATGTATGTTTTTCCTTTTCCAGACTCACATCTCTTCCAGGAAGCCTTCTCAGATGCTCCAACCAGATCAGGGCCCTATGCCTCTCACCTAGCTCCCTCCCTCAGTGTTCTGGTCCCAGACCTGACACCTATGTGTGTGAGTGTGTGTGTGGGGCGGGGGGGGGAGGTCAGTAATGTCTGAATTATGGTGGAAGGCGCCAGCCGGCTACCACATGGTCAGTACCTAAATGTGTTAGGAGGGAGGGACTCCAAGGAGCTGCTGAATGAGCTGGAGAACAAACAAACCAGGTGAGGTTACAGCCCATGCAACACCACACCCCAACCCCAACTGATGCTGTTGTTGTTAACTGCTACAGAGTCGACCCCCGACTCGGGGACGACCCACACAGTCAGTGCCTAAATGTGTTAGGAGGAGGGAGGGGCTCCAAGGAGATGTTGGATGAGTTGCTGCACAGGGATTTCTTGTGTTGTCTTTATGGTGGCTGATTGCCAGGACATTCTTCCGCAGAGCTGGGGGGAGTGGGTTTGAGCCACCATCCTTCAGGTTAGCCATGAGCAGTTACCCACAACTGTGGTGCCTTTTTCAGAGGAAGCCATAAGGCCAAGAAGGGGAGGCTGGGACGAATGGTACCCCTACCCCCACAGACTGACGTCTCACCTTGGAAGGTCGACATTTTCCTTACGTTGTTCAGCTCGTGGTGCGTGACGGCCAGGGCCTGTCTGAACTTCAGGTTGGTCTCCCTGGTGACCAGGAGGGGAAGGAGGTGGACACAGGTAACATCTCAGCAAAGACCCCCCCAGCCCCCCCACCACTTTCTGAGTTCCTCAGAAAGTTTTGCTGTGCACCTACTGTGCACCAGTCTGCGGTCGGGGGTTCCCAGGGAGGGAGAGGGCAGTGGGACGTGGCACATAGTCCAGGCCAAGGAGATGGACAGCAGGCAGATCTTTCATCTGCTTCATTGTTTTTTTGCTCCCTACATGTTTGAATTTTTTCTTTTGGTGGTAGAATATTCAAGGAGGTTTCAAAATTTCATGGAAAAATGGAATTAAAAACCAGTGAGGGGAAAAAAGAATGGACTTTTTCCAAGAACTTTTTGAAGACCCTCTCAAATAGAAACAACAAAAATTGCCATTTTAAACTTTTTTTTTTTGTCCCAGCACCCCTTATTGACGGGTTAAACATTTCTCTCTTGCTCTGACCATATCTGTCAGTTGAACCATCTTTAAGCGCAGAGCTGGGCAGCATGTTTGTGACCATCAATAAATACCATCTACTTCCACACCTTCCTCCTCACCCCAGAAGGGAAGCCCAGGCCTGTCAGCAGCCTCTTCCTGTCTCTGTGGACTTGCTTTTCCTGCATGTTCCATATAAGTGGCACCTGGCCCACGCCCTGTGGCCTCCTGCCCTGTGGCTTCTCTCGCCGGGTACCACGCCTTCAAGATTCATCCTCCCACAGGGGCATGTGTCAGAATTCCGCCCCTCTGCACGGCTGAGTACATCCCACTGTGTGTACGGATCACACTGGGCTTATCCACCGTCTGCAGGTGGACACCTGGGTTGTTCCACAACTGTCTGAGAAAGCATCCAGTACTTCACCAAAAAACCAAAACTCAAACCAGGTTCGTCTGGGTTGGCTCTAACTCCTGGCAACTCCATGCGTGTTAGCACACAAGTGTGAGACACAGGATTTTCAGTGGCTAGTTTTTCAGAAGTAAATCACTAGGCCTTTATTCCAAGGACTTGGATGGACTTGAGCGGCAGACATTGATGGGTAAGAGGTCTGAGGCAGGTGGCGGTGGGGTAGGAGTGGGGCTTGGGCACTCAGCCGAGTGCTTAACTGTTTCCTCTACCCAGTGTAATCTGTGCCCTGGAGGCCCCATAAATGCTCACGGGGTGAAAAGCCAGAATCTCTGAGCCAGCCAGGGAAGGGGCTACCCCAAGGATTCGTGCCCAAGCCCCTGAACCCCCAGCCTCTTACCCATCAATGTCGGCCGTTTCCACGTAGCACAAGCTGCTAGGCTCAGTGCTGGCAAGCAGGAGCATGTCGGCCTGAGAGAGGCAGGAGAGGGTTGGTGGAAGCTAGGACCTGGCACAGAAGGGGTGGGCAGGCTGTGGGGCTGCCCCCAGGCTCACCGGGACGAGGCTGTTCTTGTGCAGGCAGATGACGTCCCCCACACACAGGTCCTTCCATTTCCTCCACAGGAAGCTGTGGGTGGGAGGCAGAAGGTATGAGGGGGCTCCCCTCTCTGCCTTAGACTGGCCCAATCCAAATGGGAAGAAGGATGGATGGATGGATGGACAGACAGATGGACAAACAAGTACATGGATGGATAGATGGATGGGTGACGGAGGATGATGGATGGATGAGTGGATGGTGGGTGAATGGACAGATGAATTGATGGTGGAGGATGAGGATGTTGGATAGATTTAGGATGGATGGACAGATGAACAGACAGATGGATGGATGAGTGGATGATAGATGGGTGTTGGATAGAGTGATGGATGGAGGGAGGGAGGGAGGAAGGGAGGGATGGATGGATGATGGGTGGATGATGGATGAATGAGCGGACAGACAAATGATAAATGAGTAGATGGACAGGCAGATGAGCAGATGGGTGGAGGATGCATGCACATATGTTTAGATGGATGGATGTTGGGTGGACGGTGGATGGATGGAGGATGCATGCACGTAGATGGATGGATGTTGAGTGGATGGTGGATGGATGGAGAATGCATGCATGTATGTTTAGATGGATGGATGTTGGGTGGATGGATGGAGGATGCATGCATGTATGTTTATTTTAGATGGATGGATGTTGGGTGGATGGTGGATGGATGAAGGATGCGTGCACATATGTTTAGATGGATGGATGTTGGGTGGATGTTGGATCGATGGAGGATGCATGCACGTATGTTTAGATGGATGGATGTTGGGTGGGTGGTAGATGGATGATGCATGGATGAATGGATGGTGGATGAATGGGCAGACAGATAATGGGTAGATAGACATGATGAATGGATGGACAACTGATGGGCAGACATATGAATGGATAGGTAAATGAATGGGTGAATGGTGGATGGATGGACAGATGGAGAGATGAATGGAGGGACAATGAATGGGTGACAGAATAATGGATGGATAAATGATTGGAGTAGAGAGGCAGGGTGGGGTTGTGACTGGGTTGGGAGGGTGACAAATCCCACCCCCCCGAGCTCTGGAAAGCCGCCTTGCTGCTCTTCCTCCACCTTCATGGTTCCACAGTACTGCACAGTGACCAGTAGGGTCCCATCCCCTCTGCTCAATGCTAAGTCCCTTGAAGGTTAAGAGTCAGACCCTTGGTTTCTTCACCCCATTATAGGACTGGCTCTGGCAGGTAGATTACTGTCCTCCACTGGGTTCAGGCAGGATTTCCAAGGGCACCCCTCTCCCTGCCCACTGACACTGGCCCAGACTCACCTTTTCCCCACTAGGATCTGACAGGGTCTGTTGTTGATGGTAGTGTCGCTCCGGTGACGCCCCTGGGCCAAGAGGGAGGATCAGAGAGATGGACTGCCTAATCTCCCAGCCACACCCACAGCCATGCCCAGGCAGGCCAAGAGTCCCTGCTCATAAGAAGGTGTCCCAGTCTAACAACCCCATCCACGCTATATCTGCCCAGGGACCATAGGATGAGGTGTGTATGGGCAACAGCTATCAGCAACAGGACAAATTCTGATGGCTACATAGTGTGACTCTAGACTATCTTCCCAAAATGGCCACCAAAGGAAAATGGTCCCTCATCAATATGGCTGACAGAGCCGAGGGCCCCTACCTAGAATAACCAGCAAAGCACCATGGTCCTGAAACAATATGGCCGATAGAGCACAGACAGATATCAAAGATGGCCGCCAAAACAAAATGGCCCCTAACCAATATGGCTGACGGAGTAGCTGCCAAAGCACAAGAGCTACCTCAAACGTTTGGTACACATGGGGACTTCAAAAAGTTCGTGGAAAGATTCCACTGTCTTTTGATTCCATTTTCTCCAATGAACTTCTGAAGCCCCCTTGGATTTACCAAAAAAAAGAAATTGAAATATTTGAAATCAAGGATTCCAAGTTGTAAGGAAAGCAAAACCAGAAACAATGGCCACCCCATTAACATGGCTGACAGAATCAACAGACACCAAAGCACCATGGCCACCAAGGCTTGTAAGGCTGACAGCGCAATACTGGTATTTGCCCAACATGGCTGGCAGAATCAAAAGGCCATGTGCCCCTCATGAAGAACAGCTAGAAAACAATATGGCTCCCAAGACATTCTGGCCACCGGTACCTGCCCGATATGGACACTGAAGCCCCAAGACTGTGACCAGTGCGTCCCCCGCCCACTTACAATGTCGTCCACCAGGTCTCGGGCAGCACGGATCACAAGCAGACACACCAGTGGCATGAAGAGCGTGAACCAGGGCAGCGTGGAGATCTCAGGGATGGACTGGTGGAGACAAGGAAGCATGCTATGTCCTTCTTCTGACCACTAGGTCCCACCCTCCTCAAGGCATCTATAGCCCTGTGATCCGCCTGCTCATCACCTCAGTCCTGGCCCCCACATACCAGCCTTGGGACCACGGGCTCGATCTGTTCTTCCAAGAAGCCCCCTCTCCCCGACCCTGTTCCTTCAATGAGTCACCCCCACTAGACACTCAGCACCTGGAGCCAGGGTTGCACACAGTAAGCACTCACTAAATACTTGGGTTCATGTATTTGGTACTGTAGAATTTCCCTTTACCCAGAGCCAAGAGGAGCTGCTGGATGAAAGAGGGGGGATCTGGAAATAGCACCCACTTCCTGAGAAGGAGGTATCCGGATCTGATGCTGACCTGCGGCCCCAGTAAAGACTGCCCCTACTTAATCAGGGGGCCACAGGAGCCAGGAGGCCACGTCCAGCCCAGGGGACCACCTGGTCTCTCTCCCTTCACCCTTCATTTCTCATCACGTATTTGAGTGCCTTCTGCAGGAAGCTGGACATCAGCCCTCTCATCACACAAACACCCAATTCAATCACCCTGGGTCTTCCAAGTACAGTCCAGAAGGGGGTCAGCAGAGGTTTCCCACAGACACCAGTCCTAGGATAGAGACTGCCACCTAGCCAGGGCAAAAATTGGCAGAGGGCATGGGCCCCATGTGATCCATATTGCCCCACCTGCAGGATGATGATGAGGAGGAAGTAGAGATTGGACACTCGGTGGAACTGTTCATACAGGTTCATCGGCAGGAAGGTGAAGAAGCTGTACTTGGCCGTGTGGATGACGTTGGTCTGCAACGACAGCCACCCACCCCGGCCAGCTGGCATGGGGGCACTGCCCAGGGTTGTACCCTCCAGGGCTGTAGGCACAAGAGGCCACGGAGATACTAACAAGCATAGAAACTGACAGGATCCAGCATCAATGCAACACCTTCTGCCCACACAGCCTCAAGCCATGAGCACCTGCTGAATACAAGGCCTCAGTCTAACACTGAATGACTGACTGACTACAGGATGTAAGGCCCCGGTCAGCAAGGGTGCAATGCCTCAAGCTAGTCTTGACTGAGGCAAGACCTCTATCCAACATTCAAACCAACATTAATTTTGCATCTACTGAATGTAAAGGAACTCTGGTAGCGTACTGGTTACAAATCGGGCTGCAAACCTGAAGGTCAGCAGTTCGAAACTACCAGCTGTTTGACGGGAGAAAGATGAGGCTTTCTGCTCCCGTAAAGATTTATGGCTTCGGAAACCCTGTACAGGGTCGCTATGGGTCAGAACTCATAACAATAACTGAATGTAAGGCCTCAAGCTAGCATTTGCTGAGCACCTGCTGAATGTAAGACCTCAGGCCAACATTACTTATGTGTTTATTAAATGTAATGTCTTGAACCAGCATTTACTAAGTATCTACTGAATGCAAGATCTTAGCCCAGCGCTGGTGGTGGTGAGTGGTTGTATGTGCTGTGGAGTTGATCCCTACTCAGAGGGTTCCTGCATAAGGCGTCTGTGGCTGTAAACCTTTATAGGAGCAGAAAGCCTCATCTTTCTCCCACAGAGCAGCTGGTAGTTTCGAACAGCTGACCTTGCGGTTCGCAGCCCAACTCATAACCATTACGCTACCAGAGTTCCTAACCCAACATTGAGAGATGATTAAATGCAAAGCCTTGAACTTGCATTGTTTGAGCACTCGCTGAATGTAAAGCCTCCGGCCAACATTAATTGGGCGCCTGCTGAATGCCAGGACTCATTGAACCTCTCCTGACGGCAAAGACGGTTTGAGCCTCAACCTCTGCATTTCCCAGAGCAGGACATGCATGGGGGTTTGGGGAGCGCCTGGATGGACAGACATCCTGCATTCTGAGGGTGGTGAGTTCACTTATTTTCACGTGAGCTGGGAGGGGAGAGGGGTCAGCCCCTAACCAGCCCCTTACATGGAGTCGGCTAGGGCGGGACGTCAGTGCCCACATTGGTAGTGAAGAGCATCACGCAGACATGCACAGACAGAACTCAGGCAGTGTAGAAAGCCTGGAAGGCAGGGCCAGCTCGGTGGGTGGAACCCACCTTGTACCTTTTCCGTTGACAACATACGAAGACTTTCTCCTTACACTTCCAGTGGTAGCATTGGTTATTGGCCTTCACTTCCCAGGTGAACTCTGAAGCAAGAACAGGGTGGCGTGGGGCTTCAGACAAACACCCTCTAACGACACCCCGGCGGAGGACTAATGAGTCCCCCGGAAACCTTTGCACTGGGGATACCCGGCTCTTGGCCAAGGATGCTGGAACTGGTAAACAAATGGGGCCCCTGGGGTGGGGGATGGGGGACAGCTTGGTCCCCCCCACACACAGTAGGCATGCAAATGGGTCTGTCGCAAGCTCCGTCCCCTCCCACGATGAGCTGTGAGCCATTCCCGTAGACACAGACCACAGGATCCACTAAAACCAGTCCATTTTATGTAGGGTAAACTGAGGCCAGTTCACAGAACTGAGGGGTCCGAAGCCACGTGCCCAATCAAAGTATTGATCTTTCTGGACTTGCAGCTTTCGAACCTTGTGTGTTTAGTAATCTTAGCCCTGAATGCTTGAGGAATCGGGCTTAGGGCTGTTTGTAAGCAGAAGAGAGCCCCACACTGTCATCACGGGTGCCCACACTGCAGCCCCAGCCCCACTTGCTCTGCCCAGGGACACGCACCTGAGTTTTCATTTTCTTGGAAAACATCTTGATAGTTGAGGCTGCCCATGCTGGTGCAATGGTGGGGGAGAGAGATGGGGAGAGTTCAGAGGTGGCCGCAGGCTGCTGTTTAGCTAAGACTTTCTCTAAAATGATGCCGCCCACATCTACCTGCAGTTTCCCTGGCCCAGGCTGACCCCCAAACCTGCAACAGCCCCACGACCACCACCATCTCCAGCTCAAAACCTGAGACTACCTCATCCCCTTCCCCCCACACAATTACAGCAACATTCCACCCCTCAACACACCCAACTCCAGTCTCCGTTTGGGTCCCCATGGCCACTGACTCTCAAAGGAATGATTGGATCTTTCTCTAATCCCTTCTTCCTACATGGCACCCAGTGACCCGCCCAAGCCCGGGGAAGTGTTTGTTGACTGAGTTAGATTTTGCAGCTCATCTGGGAGCTGTTCTGGGAGCCCTGAGCATGATCTCTGGGCTACTCCAGGTAGAAGCCACCCCAGCAAGTGATGGAAGAGACACACCTTGACAGAGGCTGGGACCTGCCCACTTTGTGGTCTCTGTCTGGGTCCTCCAGTCTCACTTTGCACCAGGGGACCCTGGGCTGGCACACAGGGGTCAGGGTCCACCACCCCTCCAAGCAACCTGACACTCCAATCACACACCATCAAACCTCTCCTGTGATGACCTCCTCACCCTTCCCGTCTCAGTTCAGACTTCCCTGACCCTCCTGGCTGGATTTGGTGCCTCTTGTGGGCCCTCCCTCCACCTGCGACATCACCTCTTCTCCACCTGAACCCCAAAACCTCTCAGGGCTGACACATTGGCATCTGAGTCACGGTAACCCTAGGGCCCTGGCAAGCCAATCTGACGCAGGATTAGCTCTGGGAAGCCTGGAGGGACGGCCACCCATTCAGAAGATGAGGAAAAGCGAGGCCCAGGGCACACAAAGCAGGGGGTGCTCAGTTGGGGTACACTTGGGGGAGAGTCGAGTTCACTGGGGCAGAATCCATCCAAGGCTTGTATGGGATGGACACACCCACGCAACCCCTGCTTCCGGCTCAGTCCCACCTTCAACTAATGGGAACTCCAGGTCCTTCGTGCATAGTACCCCGCCCCACAATCTCCTGGCGAACCCCGACGCACGGGGACCCCCAGGGACGTCCCCTCCTCCACCGCTGCCATCCCAGTCTACAGAAGGACGCACAACAGAGGGCTGGCCGCCCCTCACCTGAGCGGGCCGGACCCGGCCGCGGATGTCCACGGCGGCGGAGGTGGAGGGGCTGTTGGCCCGGCGCAACCGGCCGAAACGGGCTGCACGGGCGCGGGGGCGTGGCCAGATGCGGGGGCGAGGCCTAGCTCGAAGGCGGGTCTTGGCGGGGGCGGGGGTTCCTGGTGGCGTTTCAGTGGTAGGGGGACAGGGATGGCGGCGCTCTGGGGGCAGACCCCTTCTCCTGGGGGCGTGGCCTCGAGGGAATCAGGGGGCGGGGAGGAAGTGGGGAGGAGCAAAAGCGTTGTAGCCAGGGCGTCCCCTCATTTATCGACAGCACTGCAGGTTCAAACCCACCAGCCGCTCCTCAGAAAACTTAGGGTCACCGTGAGTCAGAACTGTGTCGGCAGAGTCTGATTTCTAACTAAAAGGTTGTTGGTTCAAATCAACAAGGCGTCTCAGAGAGCTTGGCGACCTGCTTCTGAAAGCCTTTGAGAACGTTGTTGGAGCTGTCCTGGGCCCGCGGCCCGCCTGCAGAGCAGCTGGTCTACTGGTTATCCTGCCAGCTTTGGGGGCCCTGGTGGCATAGTGGCTAGGTGTCAGGTGACTGCAAAGTCTGTGACATAAACCCACCAGCTGCTCCTCAGAAGCCCTGGGGAGTTTACTCCGTCCTATGGGGTCCAGGTTACTGAGACACACATGGGTGGGAGACGGGGAATGAGGCTGAAGGGCTTGTTCTAGTAGCTCCATCTCTTGCTGGATGGAACTGAGCAGGGCTAGGGGACAACTTCCTCCCGGGAATGGAGCAGACAAAGGCCCTGAAGACAGAGCACTTGGGTTTAACAAGCTCAAACAGGTCCCTTGAGGCTGGCATGAGGGCCCGCCTGGGACACCCCAGCCCCCATTTTAGTAGATGATGATTCATGTGCAGAAAAAGTGGAGCAAAGATTTGACAACTGGATACAAGGAGCAGCTCCCGAGGGTCCAGCAGGGGCAGGGATCAGACTGGACGGAGGACCATCCCCCAAGTGCTGAAGCCAGCAGCTGGGAGGCGCGAGGTGGATGGGAACTGCCCTGCACTGGGCCCTTGGCCTTATGCAGTGACCCACGGACCTGCATGGGCCAGCCTTTCTGGCTTAGTGTCTCTCACAATGACACAAAAGTGAGGAAAGCATTCACAGGTTATGGTGTGGCCTGTGGCTGCTCTGCTGTGCCAACACTGGCGGTCCACAGCGCTTGGGCCAATCCCACTCACAAGATGGCCCCCCACCCCACAGAGGGGCTGGGGAGCCCGATGGTCCCAGGCTCGGGCGGACCTCTCCATCTTCCCTTGGGGCTTACAGTCAATGACCCCCACAGGCATGAGACCACCAGTACACACAGGAACTCTAAAATCCATACAAATGTTTATTCTGTCCCTGCCCAGGGAGTAGGGGGAGAGGAAGGGCAGGAGCTGTGGACTCTCCAGGCAGCCCCGTGAGGAGGACAGGCTCTGGAAGACAGTGTTGGAGGCTGGTAGGGCCCAGGTGGGCTGGGGGATGGAAGGACAGGAAGGGCCTTTCCCGAGCGAGGGCATCTGTCCCAGCAGTCAGCAGCTTTACAAGTGCAGGTGACCACTTCTGGGCCTGGGCCTCTCGCACATCCCACTCCCATCCCCAGGCTGCTGTTCCTCCAGACGGTGAGGGGGGATGGGGGGAAGTGGGGGTGGGGGCAGGACATGACTGTACAAGTCAGTCACTGGGTTTAAATTAAAAATAATAAAAATAACAATACAAAATAAAAAAGACAACCCCTGTCTCAAAGAAACCCGGGATGAAGCGGCCCCCCCACCCCCACCCCCCACGTCACATAAAAAGGGAGAGTCAGGTGGGGGGCGCTGCTGCTGGGCACAGAGTTAGAACCTGGCTGGGAGGGGTGCAGGCTAGGCAGGTCAGCCCTGACCAGTGGCCGGTCCAGACAGCCGGGGCCGCGTCTCTGTGGCGTGGCGAGGTGGTGGACAGAGTGAACTCTCGAGATTTATTGCACTGTTTTGGAGGAGGCCAGGTGGGCTGGGACGAGGGCAGGCGAGCAGGCTCATCGCTTGGTCTTGGCGTCTTCGCGGATCTTCCAGATCATCAGGTGCATACAAGCACTGGCGTCCTCGCTGGAGCTGTGCCCGTCCACTGCGGGGACACGTAACAGGGGTCAGTGGCCGGCTGGAGCCCCTGTGGTACACGAGCTAGCCCCCGGGGCCCCATGGCAGGTGCTGACCGTTGTCCTGGATGATCTGTTTGAGGTAGTCGGCCATGAGGTTCCGTAGGGAGCGCTTGTAGGGGAGACCCAGGCGGTGTGGGAAGAGCACAGCCGTGTCCACTACGGTGCTGTGGATGACCTGCAGGGGCGGGGGTGTGCATGGTGGCAGGGCCCCGCTGGCTCCTCTGATCCCCCATCAGCAGGCTGTGTGGGGCCCGGAGGCGGGGAGAAACCAACCTTCAGTGCCAGCAGGTCGCTTTCCAGGCTGTGGCCAATGAGGATGGTGTCGGCACTGAGCATGCTCAGCAGGACCGCCTGCACGTCCCGCAGCGAGATGCTCGTGCCTGCCAGGTCTGCCTCAGTCACCCCGGAGAACCTAGTGTTGTAGTCGACAATCTCGTTGTCGGGCCTGACGAAGGTGTCATAGACCACCTGCATATCCGTGTCCACCACAGTGATCCGCGTCAGCTCCAGGCCGTATGTGGTGTAGGACTGTGGACCCGGGCACAAGACGGGGAAGAGGTCAGCTCCTGCCGCTCCGGAAACCCCAGGAAGCCGGCTATGTCCCTGTATTCCCATAAGGGGCAGGAGAACCCCGAGCCTGGAAAGGCTCTGCTAACCTGCACTGGGCTTGGCTTTCATGAGCAGCCTGGTCTATACAGACCGAGAAGCACCTGTTTACCAGCCAGGGAGATGCTGTGTGACCCACTCGGGAGTGAGCTCCAGACACCCCATGGATCAGACTGGGACTGGCCTCGGTTCACACATCTTCAAGCTGCTCTTTATCCCACAACCTCAGCGGCTCCATTCTCAGGTGGGGCTGCTAGGCACACCCCCACCCCCAACACTGTCAGGCTCACCATCTCGCAGTCAAGGGCGTAGACACCCGGGTGAGCATCTTCTGGAAGCTCTTTCTCGAAGGTCCTCACAAAGCCTTCAAGGTTTTCCTTTCGACCGTCCTGCACATGTTGCTGGGGAGAGGAAGGGACGAGGAGTGGGCAGGTAAGAAAGGAGACTGGGCTCCGGGGCTTCACATTTCTGTCCGTCAGGCATAGCTGTGGGTGCACGCTCAGTGGGCCCTCCCACTCAGTAGAGGGTACAGCCAACTAGGGTGTGGGGTGCTTGTAACCGAGCCCTTCTTGGCTCACCAAGGGCTGGATCCTGACAAGTCCTCTATCCTTCCCCATGAACTGCCTGAGTGACCTGGAAGGGCAAGCCGCACTCAGGGGCCGGAATGGCCGTGGGCAGGGGAGACACCGCACCACCTCCCAAGGACCCCAAAGGCTTCAGGTCACCTGAAAATCACCTGGGCCAGGCTGCTGGGGTCCTGCTGGCAGCCCCCAACCAGGTCTTGGGAATTCTACATATTTACATACAGACCCTACCAGGGCTTCGGCCCCCCCCAGTCCTGGGAGCCTCCTGCTGAGGACAAGTGGCCACACCCCCCACCCTGCCAGGGGAGCTGACAACCAGCCCTGAAGCAGGGGCTCAAGCCAAACACCTAACTAGAGGCGGCTCTGGATGGGGGGGTGCCTTGGGCCCCCAATAGACGAACCCCTCACTTGTGTCCCCATGTCCTAGGCACCTATTGTGCCCTGCAGGCACTGTGGAAGCCCAGAATCATCACAGCCAGGACTCCCCTTGGCCTCTGAGGAGGGAAAAAAGCCTGGATCCCATGCAGGGCTGAGCTACCTGCCCCACTGGGCCCTCCCCACGGGCTACCCACGGGCACTCAGGATGGGCCAGCCATTAATGAAGGAGAGGCGCCAGGAGGAAAGAAGAGGGCAGGGATCTGGGCGAGGTAAGGGGCGCCTGGGCCCCAGGAGACCCACCTTGGCGACCTGGCAGCCAATGGAGCCAACAGCAGCCGAGCAGCAAGTGTACTGAGTCTCCCAACCTCCAGCCACTGCAGGGAGGAACCAACCAGGGACACGCTGACTGACCGCCCCCTGCTCAGGCCTAACCCACCTCTGGGGAGTAAGACCTTGTTTGGAACAGGGCTCTCCCCCCACTTTTTTTATTGTGAAAATGTACAAAAGACTTGTTTTCAAAAAGTACAAAAAAGCCACTTTGGGGGCTAAGGTGCATCAGACCTAAGCCATGGTATCTTCAGTTGCTTTGTACGCATGTGTAAGTTGCACAGTGAAATCAGCAAGATTGGAAAGAACCGAGAAATCTGCCCCAAAGAAGCACAAACGCTCCTAGAAGTAAAGACGGTGAGACCTTGTCTCTGGACAAGCTATCCGGAGGGACCAGTCCCTGGAGGACGACATCATGCTTGGCAAAGTGAAGGGTGAGCCAAAAAAATGACCCAGACACCCACTGAGATGGACTGGCAGAGGCCACAGCAGCAGGGCTGGCCAGGGACCGGGCAGTGTTTCGCTCTGTAGGGCCGCCATGGCTCGGAAGTGCCATCAGACCTGGCACCGTACCGCGGAACCCTGGGAGCGGGGAGGCCCTGCACCTGTGTGCAGTCTGGCTATGCTCTGCAAGCTGTGCAGCGGTCAGTACCAACAGAACTTCACCACCCCTGTCCCTCCCACTCCCGCCTCTCCACTAACCCGCTTGTTTCTGTATGAGAGAATTAAAACACAGTGGACTCTTCCACAGAATTTCAAGTTCCTCATAGGTTTAACTCAGAGCGAACTCGTGTAATGTTTGATGACAAAAGAAAACCCGTTTTCTTCTGTCACTATGAGAGGCACACGAGGGGAGACCGTGTCTGGTGAGTGAGGCCTAGGCCTATATCTGGAGCTTCAGCGGGGCGGCCCTGAACCAGAGAACCAATGTGTTCTCTGTCGCCACCCACTGGTGGGACTTGTTACCGCAGCCTCCACAGTGACTCCTTTGGGAGGGAGGTCGAGGATTTGGGATGAGACATCGCCTGACCCCAGCGCAGGCCCCTCCGCACACTACCCCAGGAACCTGGTGGAGTGGTGGTTAAGAGAGGCCCCACGCAAGGGGCGGGTGAATGGGCAGCCCAGGAGGGACTTGTGTTACTTTTGTGATAAAACAACCAAGAGAAGGCCTGAGAAAGGGGGCGCAGAATGGGGCAGGCCAGGTGGGCTCACCGCGGTGGCGCCGCAGCCGACCCCAGTGGTAGTAGCACTCTTCAGCACGGACACAGCGGCCCGAGGGGGACACGAGGTAATCAGCACCACACCGACAGCAGATCCTACAGGAAGCTGTGAGCCGACAAGACAGCTGGAAGGGGGGCTGCAGCCACGCAGGTGACCCCAGCAGACCCCTCCAACAGAAGACCCCAGGGAACCCAGAGGGCCCCTCCCCTCACCATCCTTGGACCTCTTCTCCTCTGTGGTGAAAAGGACAGCGCCGCCAGGCCGCTCGGGGTGGGGGAAAGGGTAGCCATTCTCCCTGAGCTGCTCATCGGTGAGGAGGTAGTCCCTAAGGCGGCCATACAGCGCAGCCCCTGTAGATGGACATCCAAGGGAAAAGGCTGACCTCACGCACGATGGACGCCGAATGCGGGGCCGGGGCCTTCTGTGGGGGTGGGGAGTGTGCTGGCTGGAGCAGAAAGGCTCACCTTTCAGGTCCTCCACGCGGGGGCTTGTCGGGCGGCTGAGCGAGAAGCTGGTTTTGGCGGCCAACCTGCCCCCCAGCACCACCTCGTGGGACACCAGCCTCCGGCCGCTGACTTCTGAGTGGAGTGGGGGGAGGGAGAACGGGGTAAGCTCAGCCCCACCTGCCCCACTGAATCAGCACAATGGCCTCATTGCCAAGTGACCTGGGCAGGAAGCCCCTATAAGGTGCCCATCCTGAGCTCTGCGGACTGGGCAGTCCTTGCTCCTCGGGTGGGCAGGGTAGGGAGAATGCAGTGGACCCTTCAGGAGGCTCGCCCCTTTGGAGGGAACAGAGGTAGTGGGGTGCCCACAGAGGGAGACACCTGTAATGCGGGGGGTGCACCCACCCACCAGGCCCAGCTGGCTCCGTTAGCGGCAGGCGAGGCTCCACCTGAACAAGCAGTCTCCTCACTGGTCCCCAGCCCCCAGACTCACTGCTGAGTGCGGGCGAAGCACTGGGGACCAGGCCTCGGAGCTTCTTGAGTGTGTTCACGGCGACATTCAGGTAGATGTTCTTGCTGGGGCTACGGTCGTAGGCCACCTTCTCCTCGGTCAACGCCTGTGGACAGGCATACACCCACACGTGTGGCATTCAGTCCTGCACCACACCGCGGTGCCCTGGGAGCGGGGAGGCCCTGCACCTTTCCCAGGCAGCCCAGAAACTGTGGCCATCAAGTCAGCCCTGACCCATGGCGCCCCCAGGTGGGTCAGAACAGAACTGAGCTTCACCGGGCTTTCAATGGCGGGTTTGCCTGATAGAAACTTTTCTTAGACTCATCTAGGTGGACTCGAACCTTCAACCTTTCAGTTCCTAGGAGTGCAGTCACCGTGTGCACCCCCAGGAAACCCTCACAAGCATCCCAGGGGAAAGCGACGGGGCTGGAGACCCGGGAAAGGTGAGTCCACCCTCCTGGTCACGCACCTTCTCGATGGCTTCTTGGTGGGAGGAGGAGAACTTGAGGCACTCCTCAATGAAGAGGTTGAGATACCGCTGCCGGATGGCTGTGGGGACTTTGGCCCCAAACTCTTTGGGGATAATAGGCTTCTTTAGACTCTAAGGGAAAGTGTAGGGTCAACACAGGGAGGGGTAAGCAGAGACAGAGCGAGGCCCCAGCCCCAGCCCCTGGACAGCCCCACCACCTCACCTGGAGTGATGGACTGTGGGCGACTCGCTTAGGGGTGATAGTGGACGTTGTCTTGGAGGCCATCCCTGCCAGCGTACGCGTCTTCAGGGTCTGCCTGCCAGGCTCGGGGCCGTGGGGGGGCTGGCTGCCACTGGCCGCCAAGGTCCGCTTGGCACCTGTGGGGGCTGGCAGAGGGCCGGGGATGTGAGGATGGGCGGTGAGGAGGCCCATGACCGAGCTGCGGAGCACCAGATAGCTGTGGTCACTCAGGGCCAGCAGCACGTGCATCTCGCCACACAGGGCCGGGGGCCGAGGCTCGCAGCTCGGGCTGGACAAGGACATCAAGGGGGGTACGGTGGTCAACAGCCAGGGGTTGGGTCAGGTGCCGGGGCCACCGACGGGGCGCTGTGGAGGGCAGTGTGGACTGTGGGGAGCTGCTGCAGCATGGTCACGGCCCCAACTCTGAGGCATTGAGGTCTGAGAGAGAGAAGGCCCTGGCTCCTGGGCAGAGGACCCCAGGGTATGGACAGCCTGTCATTGTGACAGCCCAGCTCTGTGTTCTGCCCCGCCTATGATGAGGTCACAAAGCACAGTCAACCACCCGAGGAGCTGAGGCGGGGCATTGCCTATGTGTGCGGGATTTTAGCATCTGGTCAGCTCTGACCCGAGGGGACCCAGACGAGACCACAACTCAGAGAGCTGGATGTCCGTCCCTGATCCCTGCTGCCCTGGGTCCCACATGAGATGCACACAAGGCATGGGCAGCTCTGCCAGTCTCCTCTAGCTGCAGTGACCACTCCTGGGACCACTTGGGGAGGCAGGAGGTCGACATCCACCCCTCCTGTCCCAGCAGAGGAGAACTGAGACTCACTGGGACTTTTCATGTGGACCTGGGGCCACGCAGAAAAGAAGGGTCACCGGGGGCAGCCCAGGAGCGTGCTCTGACTCTGTGAGACCACCTGACTGGTCTGCCATTTGAGAGCCATGCACAGCTCGGAAGAGTCGCCTGGATTTGGAGTCGGCCTCTCTTTCCCACTCACAGTCTGCACTAAGCCCCCCACCACACCCACACCCACACCCACACACACCTGGGGCTACAACTCAACACTCTGGGGGCGCTGCTGGAACACCTGTGTCTACACAAAAGAGTCAGCACTGCCCACCCTGCACAGGGGGCTCTGGGACGATGGTCTTTGAGGCAGGCAGTGGGAGCCCCTTCTCCCCTGGAGCTGGTGACACATAGCTGCTCCCTGCCAACCACCTCTCGCCAGTTCCTGAGGGAGATGCACCTGGGGGCTCTGCAGTACTTTTCAGGAAAACAGCCCCAGCTGGCTGACGGGGAGGCACCCGCTCTCAGAGCAGGTCAAGGATAGGGGTCAAAACAGGTCCTTCAGACTGGAGGAACAGAAGCTGCCATGCTGTACCCTCACCCCAATGCCCCTGAGCAGCTGTGCGGTCTATGCCTGGCTCAACGGGTCCTGCCCTGCCCTGGTCACACAGCTCTGTTAATTGGTTCTTCAAAGTGGCTCATCAGGCTACCGAGTCAGCTCTGACTCACAGTAGCCCTCTGTAGGGGTTCTGAGGTACAGCTAGTGGGTTTGAACCACCGACCTTGTGGTCCAGTGCTTACTGGCCAGGCATCAAACCCAGGTCTCCCCACACGGAAGGCAGGATTCTCCCACGCAACCACTCCCTTCTGACACACATCACACTCTGCTCACCACCACGACACGCCCCCAAGGGCTGAGGGAAGGGACATCACCATGGATGTCCACTGCCAGGAGGAACAGGTCCCCACCAATCCCGTCTCCCAGACAGTAAACCAAGGCCACTGTGGCAGCAAGTTGGTGGGGGCGAGGCTTGGACCAGGACCCTCCTCCACACTCCCAAGACTGGACAGGCCCGGGCTAGGCCAGTCACACCTGCAGCCAGGCGGGGGTTGGGCACGTGGGCAATGCGTCTCTTCTCGCCAGGCGTGGAGATACGCACGGAGGACAGTTTCTCGGTCTGCCTCGGGGTGGCCTGGGGCCAGCTGGCTGACTCTCGCTGGGCCTGCTGGGCGCGCCGATAACACACTTCCTGGGCGGTCAGCGGCCGGGCTGGGGCTGAGGCTGGGGCTCTCCTAGGGGGCTCCACCTGTGGGACCACGAAATGCTACGGTCTGGCTATAGGGTTGAAGAGTCACAAGCCCTGGGGTCTGGGGTATAGGTGCTCTGAGTATCTGCCAGGAATGCCCTCGGGCAGGGGGCAGCTGTGGGGCAGGCTCCCCAGCTCCGGACACTGCCGGGCTAGGTGCTTGGCCCCGGTATAGGCAGGGCAGGGATCCCACCCTGTCCGTCTCCACATCCCAGCTTCTGGAGAAGGCGGTAGGAAGGGGGATCATGCCTAAATCACCCTGAGCAGGGCCCCCATGGCCCCTAAGAGCTGACTGACCCCAGGCCCCCACCCCCAACCTCATGATGTAGTAAGATATCCAAGGAACAGGGTGGCCCCTATTGTCCTCCAGCCCTCCAGCCCTGAGTCCTGTGAGGAGAAAGCAACAGGGTGGCCCCTATTGTCCCCAGGCCCTGAGTCCTCCAGCCCTGAGTCCTGTGAGAAGCAACAGGACCCAGGGAAACCAGGTGAGAGTTTGCAGGCCTCCCCGCCCCGGACCAGTCTGGATCCACTAGCCCTCACCTCCCTGCCCTGCTTGGTCAGATGAGAGATCCTCCTCTTCTGTCCTGGGAACAGCGTGGTCAGGCCCGCATGCCCCTGTTCCTCACTGTTCTCCTCCTTGGGTGGCTGGAACACAGGATGCAGCCAGGCAACTTTGGTAGGCACGTACACACACGCCGTCTCACGGTGCCCTCCCCCCACCCCCGACCCCCAGCATCCACACACCTTCCCTTCTCCCCCTGGCCTCCAGAAGGTACTTGGGCCCAGCTTGTGGGCCACTATGAGGCCCTAACCCTGGAACCTGGAACCAGCCCTGTGCCTAGACACCTGGTAAGGATGGAGCCAAGGGGCTAGGCAGGGGCTGTAGACCACCGGAAGGGAGAGGGGCTGGTACAAGAGTACTGGGGGGAAGGCAGAGTCCCACTGGGTGGATGATGACCAGTGTCCTCTTTCTGGCTGGCGTGCTGGAGGGCAGTGTGGGAGGCCACCAAGGGCTCCTGATTTAAATGGGGCCAAGGCCAGCAGTGACCAACCCGGACAGGACAGTGGGTAGGTGACCCCACACCCTCACCTGGTGGGCCAGCCGACCTTTGTGCTCAGTCTTCACGCTACTGGACTCGTTGAAAATCCGTAGGCACTCCTCCATGGGGTCTGAGTCAAAGTCAACCTCCTTCTCCAAGGCCGCATAGTCCACGTCCTCCCCCGAAGAGGAGGAGGAGGAGGAAGGGGGGGGGGCGGGGGCAGGGGCAGGGGCAGGGGGTGGGGAGGCCTTGAGCTGTCTGGGCTGGCTCTGCTTTGTTGTCTCCGTGAGGCCCAAGCTGGAGTCCGAGTCTGAGTCTGAGCTGAGGCTAGGCAAGGTGGGGGGCAAGGTGGGGGGCCAGGCTGGTGGCGCCCCTACATCCTCGTCTGCACTCTCGTCCCCAAAGAGGTCAGCATGGCTCAGAGCCCGCCGCTTCAGCTTGGGGGTGTTTGGGACGCCACCCTCGTCCAGCGAGTGGGCCTTGCGTGTGACCAGCTTTCCTGAGGGGGAAGGCTTTCCCCTCTTTGAGCGGCTTGGCCGGAGCTCCAGGGGCTGCTCAGGCTTGGCTTTTCCTGAGCTGCCCGGTGTGGCGGCTGAGGATGGCTTCTTCTTGGTCCCTTCTGGCCGCTCTGCCTGGCTACGGGGGCTGGCAGCCTGAAGGCCCCTCTTCTCACTCAACTTCCCTCGATCCCTGTTTCTCCCCTTGTCTTTCTTCCGGACACCCTCCCGGTGGCTGCTTAGCGGCACCTCCCCTCGTCGCTTCTTCTTGGATCTCACCTCCTTGGGGGTCTCCTGCTCCTGAGTGGCTGGGGCAGTGGTGATAGATGGGGCAGGGGTCCCAAGGTCACCCACATCACACTGCACGGCCATCTCCTTGGTCTCCCGAAGGCAGCCCTCATCGGGAACACGAGGGGGGCTGGCAGGGGCAGGCCCATTGCCCGGCGGTGCGGCAGCATCATCTTCTGAGTCCGAAAAGCGGGCATCACAGCTACTGAAGGGGTCGCAATGCTTCTTGGGGGCTGGCGTGTAGGGCTCACGGTCAGGGGCACCCCGGGCCCGCTTGAAGGCTCGCTCGTCCCGGGTGCCCGTCCTGCTCAGGAGGCGGGCTGAGTAGTTGGACAGTGGGTCATACTCTAGGTCAGTGGACGGCTTGGAGTTGTCCACCACGTACTTGCTGCTCGAGCCGGCACGGCCATGCCTCCGGGGCTGGCCCACAGCCTTGGGCACATACTCCAGGGCCCCACCGCGCCCCCGGCCAGGGCTCCTCTCCAGCGAGTACTTGCCGCCCGGCTCTGCAGGGGTTGCCAGTGGTGTGGGCTGGTAACCGGTGTCGGGGCTCAGCCGGCCACGGCCCCCAGGGTGGTAGTCCAAGGAGAGCGGGAAGGTGTCCTCATGGCCCAGGTGGGCACTGGGGGCAGCAGGGCCACGGGGGGCCAGGGCGGAGTCCTCGCCGGTGCCGGCCACCCTGGCCGTGCCCAGCAGCTCCTGGTAGCGCCGCTGCTCCAACTCCACCTCGGTGCGCACGGCCTCGATGGCCTGGTTGACCAGTTCCAGCTCCAGTATGTCGGAGCGCGGCTCGTCCCCGCAGTCCAGTACGCCATTCTCCCTCTGCCCCGGAGGCTTGGGCAGCTCAGGGTTGTAAGGGTCATAGCCCAGCCCTGAAACAGTGACAGGGAAGAACGGCCAGTTAGCAGACGCTCCTGTGAACTGGGCTCTCACCAGGCCCCAGCAGAGCAACACCGTGGTGCCGCTGAGCTGGAAGGAGGGATGTTTCGGGGACTCCACCTCAATGCAGTGTGAGGGTACAACCCACAGCCATGCTGGGTAGACACAGGTCTAAGTTACTGGTGGGGAACTAGAACTCGGGGGTCCGGAGCTGGGGCCCAGTCACCATGGGCTCCCCAGCTGCTGGGAGGAAGTGTGCCACCCAGTGGTGGTGAAGTGTTACAGCAGCCACATCCAGACCCGAGACGCTAGGCCTTTGTGGTTCTAAATCCCAGGCCCCAGAGAACGGAGCAGAGCTGTCTCTAGGTCTCTGAGACAGTTAAGTCTTCACGAGGGCAGACAGCGGCATCTTTCTTCCTTGGTGAGTACTGCCTCTCACCATGGTCACCACACTATCATTTCCCACCCCACCACCCCACCCCCATTAACAGGGCATGCCCTGAATCTCAGATGAGCTTTGGTCTCTGATTCTGCCTGTTGTGAACTTTCAGACAAGTGGGAGTCTATAGCGTCTGACCCTGCAGGTATGGCTCCTCAGTCAACAACTCCGATGGGCCGTCTCGCTCATGTTTTAACTCACAGCCCAGCAGCCACGCAAAAACTGGCCACACACACACTGGAACCGCTCAGTGACATTGCAAAGGTGGAGCGTGGAAACCCACAGGACAACTCAGACAGCCCTGACAGTGCTTCCTCCGCTGTTAACAAATGTAGAACGTTCAATGCAAAAATGTCAATACCGTGGGAACCGGAAGGCTGGGGGCGGGGTCAATGGGAACGATTTTCTACACAGGTTTTCTGAAAACTGCTCTGGGGGCAAGAAAGGAGCGAGGCTAGAAGAAACGTGTTGTATGCCCCTCCTTGTTTATCCCCCTGTGACGGGAGTCATTTACAGGGCGAATGATCATTTTTACATTCATTAAATTGTATTTTGTTTCATTGTAACAATTACAGTCCTCTCCATGTACAACAGTATTAACCTCTATTCCTTTATATTCGTATGTATGCATATATACACACACATTGCATATATATATATACATACACACACACACACACACAGTATAAGGAGCTATGGTAGCTTAGTGGTTATGAATCAGGCTGCGAACCGCAAGGTCAGCAGTTCGAAACTACCAGCTGCTCTGGAGAAGAAAGATGAGGCTTTCTGTTCCCGTAAAGATTTACAGCCTCCAAAACCCTGTGCAGGGTCGCTATGGGTGGAAACCAACTCGACAGCACTTAACAACAAACACACACATTGTATATACACACACACATTGTATATATATAGATATATGTATATACACACATACTATATACATATTGCTGTTAAGTCCTGTCAAGTCAGTTCTGAACCATAGCAACCCTGTACAGGGTTTCCAAGGAGCAGCTGGTGAGTTTGAACTGCTGACCTTGCAGTTCAAATGGGTTTGCAGTCTGGCACATCAACCCACAGCGCCACACCAGGACTACACACACACACATAAATATAAAATGTATATACATATATACATTTTGTGTGTGTGTGTGTGTATATATATATACATATGTATATATATATTCTCACACACATTGTACATATATGCACACACACACTATATATGTACACATTGTATATATATGCATACACACATTGTATATATATACACACACATTGTGTATATATGCACACACATTGTGTATATATGCACACACACAGTATATATATGCACACACACATTGTATATATATATGCACACACACTATATGTACACACATTATATATATATATATATATAAACGCACACACACACACACTATACAGATATGCACACACACTGTATATATATGCATACACATTGTATATATATGCACACACATACGTATGCACACACATTGTGTATATATATATATATGTATACACACATTGTATATATATGCACACACACTGTATATATATGTATACATTGTATATATATATATATGCACACACATTGCATATATATGCACACATTGTATGTATGCACACACACCTTGTATATATGCACACACATTGCATATATATGTACACACATTGTATATATATGCACACATTGTACATATATGCACACATATTGTATATATAGGTATACACACATTGTGCGCAACACATTGTATATATATGTATGCACACATTGTATATATATATGCACACACATTATATACACAGACATTGTATATATATATATACACACACATTCTATATATATGCACACACTGTATATATATGCACACACACTGTATATATATGCACACAAACACTGTATATATATGTATACTCACATTGTATATATATGCACACACATTGCATATATATGCACACATTGTATATAGGCACACACACCTTGTATATATATATATGCACACATTGTATATATATATGCACACACACCTTGTGTGTATGTATGTATGTGTGTGTGTGTATATATATATACATACACACATACATACAACACATTGTATATCTATGCACACATTATACATATATGCACACACATTGCATATATATGCATACACACATTGTATATGTGCATACACATTGTATATCTATGCACACACATTGTACATATACGCACACACATTGTACACACACATGCATTGCACATATATGCGCACACAGTGTACATATATGCACACATTGTATATATGTGCACACACATTGTATATATAAATGCACACACACATTGTATATATATGCACATTGTACATACGCGCATACGCATTGTACATATATGAACACACATTGTATATATACGCGCATACACATTGTACATATATGCACACGCACATTGTATATATACACATACACACACTGTACATATATGCATACACACATTGTATATATACATATATATATATATACACACACACTGTTAAGTGACACTGAGTCTGTTCTGACCCATTCAAAGGAATGACTGGTGAGTTTGAACTGCTGACCTTGTATTTCAAGGCGACTTTGTAGTCCAGCTCATTAACCCACAGTGACACACCAGGACTCCTATGTACATGTACAAAACAGAAAAGACCTATTAGTTTAAATGTCCCAAGGGCCTACTTTGCCAGGCAGCCCCCTGCCCACAGGCACACAGCCTTTTCAGTCCACCGGCCAAGTCCTCAGCTGCTTTGTCTCTCCACGCCATCACCTCTGCCACATCTCTGTTGTGGCCGCTTTTCTGGTTAGGAGCCCTCACTCCTCTGTTCTTCCCCCTTGGTGGTCCAGAGTCCTTGTAAGCCAGCCACTTCATGCCTTTATAGCCCTCATTTTTGATAGACACTGTCTAAGTTGGCCATGTCTAACTGTTCCTTCCTTTTTAAAAAAGTGTTTCCAAAAGCATGATGAAAGGAACGATTGTGAATAAGACCCAGCTGGGTCATTGTACCAACTGAGAGAAACTAGATCCACAGGGACAAATGTTTCCACTTGTCTGAAAGTCCAGAACAGGCAAATACATAGAACATGTGCATTAGGGGCAGGAGGCAAGGATCACCACATCTGTTAAGATGATGGGAAATGTTGAAAATGGCCTGTGGAGATGATTACCCCATGTGGTGACCACAATGAACGCCATTCAACTACACCCACAATGGCTGAAATGGCCGATGTGTTGTTAATTATATTCCTTCCTCATTTAAAACCAGACTTAAAGCAACGCACTGCTCACGGTCGTGGGGTGAGGAGCCCTTCGCAGCAGTGAGAACAGTTTCCTGATGGACATTATAGATGTGTGTAGATCGCCTATGTCCATCGAGTCGACTCCGACTCCTGGTGACCACACATGACCCACAGGGCTGTCCTAGGCTGAAATCTTTTAGAGGCTAAATTACCAGGCCTATCTCCCTCAGAGTAGCTGGATGGGTTACAACCGCGGGCATGACGCTTGGCAACTGAGCACTCTGACCACTGTGAACGTGGCAGGCGTGCCCACAGCAAAGCTGGTCAAGGAGGAAAGCCTGCAGTGAAACCACGTAGCAGGGGGAGCCAGGCAGCAACTGTCACAATTGACTGGGCCGAGCCAAGACCTGCGCTACCCACGTGACTTCCATCTGTGTACTCCCGTTTACAATCCTCAAGCCCTCTATCCCCAGACCTCCCCGTCTCCCCCCACAGGGGCTGAGGTAGCTCCCGGTCAGAACAGGAAGTCAGTGCACGTGGGTGTCTGAAGGAGCCAGCGGCAGAAAGTGGTGCACCATGGGTGGTCCAGTGGCCCTCTGTGTGGCTCAATGGTTAAGCACTTGACTACAAAGAAGGTTGACAGTTCAAATCCACTGAGCGGCTGCTTTACAGGCCTGTATACAGTCTGCTCCTATAATGATGGCGGCCTAGGAAACTATGCGCAGCTCTGCTCTGCCACATGGGTCACTAGGAGGCACAAGTGACGTGACAGTGCCCAACAACAATGACTCAATGCCGAGGCCCCGGCCTTGATTCTCGGTGTAGCCACCGCTGCCAACCCACAGAAGCTGGCATATTGCTGTGATGCTGGACAGTGAGTGCTCTCAGCGGGGCTTCCAGGTTCCAGTCAGGAAGAAAAGGCCTATGTAAACTCCCGAGGGACCTCCACAGTCCCATTCACAACCAGTTACGAGGACGGCACGAGACTGCGCAACACAGAGCCCCACGGTGGACGCAGTCACCAGGAGTCACGACAGACTCGAGGACAGCCAACACAGGGTAGTGACCCTGTGGGGCAGTGCAGAACTGTCCCAGAGTCCCCAAGCTGTCTTTACAGCAGACTGCCACCGGGTTCAAACCGCTAACCTTTTGGATAGCTGCTAAGCGCTAAAGCCTTGGGTCACCAGGTCCCCTTAATAACCACCACCACCTCTCCCCCTCCCAAAAAGAAGATGTGCACATTCAAATCGCCAGAATTTGTGAACATGGCAGTTACCACAGCAAAAGGCCACTTGTCCGTCA